AGTAAAGAAAATGTGGTATATATACACAAAGAATAGAATCCTGTCATTTGCCACAACCTGAATAAGCCAAGATTACATCATGTTAATTAAAGCACATCACAAGTACTTCATGACAAATAAAGACAAATACCCCATGATCTCAACATACATGGAATTTCTTCATAATTTTGAATGCATCTGTGCAGTCATATATAAGCAAATATGTAAGATAATATTAAATATTTTATACCACCTATGATGTCAATAAAGTATTAAATATGCATAACTGCTGGATCAAATATAAATTGCCATCACATAACAATTGAGATTTTACTTATAAATTAAAACTAGTTATATTTACATAAAAATTAATATTAATCATGTGTAAAAATATACATGGATACCTTTTGGCAATATCTTAGCCTGTTCAGGCTACTATAACAAAATACATATACTGGGTGGCTTAAACAACAATTTATTTCTTCACACTTCTGGAAGCCAGGAAATTCAAGATCAAGGCATCAGCAGATTTGGTGTCTGTTGAGGGCCTGCTTCCTCATTCATAGACGGCTATCATTTCCTTGTAACTTCACATGGCAGAGAGAGAAAGCTCTCCAAAAACTTTATAAGGATGCTAACTAATCCCATTCATGAGGGCTCCACCCTCATGAGTTCATGTAATTTGAATTACCTCTCAAAGACCCCACCTTATACCATCAAATTAGAGGATAGGGTTTCAACATAAGAATTTTAGGTAGACACAAGCACTGATTCCATAACAGGCAATATTTTAATGATTTAAAGGAGAGGTCAGTGTGCTATTAGAATCAGACCCTCCAATGACACATATCTTTTCATCATCTTTAACTTCATCACTGAAGTTTAGGACCACTGCTGAAAAGTGGAAGTGACAGAAATAGGTTCTAGTTTACATGGAAGCTGACTGGGACTCTTTTACCCACCCACTTGTCAGTATACATACACAGAGTTCCTTAGTTATTCCCACATTTACTCCTGTAAACAAAACTCACTCCTATTTAGAGCTCATCTCAAAAGTATGAGGATTCAAAGGCAACTTGTGGTAAAGTCATTTCTTGCTTCAGACTTAGCCTATTAAAAAAATTGATCTATTTCATTTGTCTCTCCGATTTAATCTATGGCATCAATTAATGAAAGACTCCTACAAATATACATATAAGCTACAGTGATTCAACTCTGTTGTAAAGATAAAACAATTGTTACCCTTTACCATAATTGTATATCACCCTGAATCAACTTGAATTATAACTGAGAAACTAGAAAAGTTACAATTGGCTTTACTTGCTCATTCAGCTGTTACTCTTCTAAAAGATCTGAACCTTCCCACAAATCCTCAGTGGCAATAACAATTCTCTATTTTAATGAATTCACTTACACCCTACTGAGAATTAATTGCTTTGGAAGCAACCCAATGGTCTGACATGCTGAGAGGCCCACTGGTATTTTTTTTCCCTCTAACATAGAGCTGTAAGGAATTAACCAAACTCCTGACCAGGACAATATTTACTTCTGTTATGTCCTTCTACCTCTGTCCCTCTACCTCTGTCCCTCTGTTCCTCTCCCTCTCTACACACACACACACACACACACACACACACACATAGACACACACACACACAGACACACACACACACTAGAAAGGCTTCGGGCATCCTTGACATTACTGATAAAACTTAAAAACTTTCTTGTAGAGATAAAACTAGAAAATTTTGTGATATGTAAATCCAAAAGTAAACTTTTCAGCAACAAAATTATCTTTGTGAAGATTTCTTACTTCTTGAAATCTATAACATGAATAATATTTGTCATATTTACTTGTATGTAATTGTATATGTCACTCCGTGATTCCCATGTGGGTCTATAATCTCTAATTGAATTAATTCACTAATTCACCAATGAAGCTTATATTTATTCCGGCAACTACTATATGCCAATGTTTGCCCAGAAGTCAAACACTATAATGGGAAGTCTGTTCTAGGAGAGCTACTCAAGTACACAGGTAGCCCATGTGACTCATAAAGACTGGGTCATAGAAGGACACAGCTTAGACAGTGATTGATTTCTATGAACATTCTACTTTTTAAATTTTTTATTTATTTTCTACGCTGCCTAAATTCTTAAATGTCATAACAGAGAGGATAGATAGATCTAATGTGTTCCTAACTGTTCTTACATAAAATGTGAAGAAACCTCGTTCAGAGACTTTTATTTCCAGCCAATTCAGGGTAATCAAAATCAGATTTACTCACATATCTGAGGGAAAAAAAAGAAGAAATATTAAATCAATAAATTTTACTGGATATCAGGAAACAAAGGAGAGTGAACTCTGAATGATGTTCCAACCTACTCCCCAGGGAAGTTTTCACATTGTTGTATGCGGAGCAGGAATTTAAGCAGAATATGCATGAATTGAGGAGATAGATCTGGGAACCTGGGGAGGCCAAGGTGCCTGGAGTAGTTGGGACAAAATAGTGGAGAGGAAAGAGCTATACACATAGACATAGACATACATGCACATGCATGCACACACACACACACACACACACACACACACACCCAGAGAGAGAGAAATTTCTCTAAAGTTCTGCAGATACTCTGGCTCAAGCCTTTGAATGACTTGAATGACTACTGATGAGGACACACACATGAGGAAAATACCAAAGACGGGGAAAGAATTTACTTGAAAAAATTAGAAAGAACAATTCTCAGGTCTCATGCAGGGCAGGGCAGAGTGTGTTTTGGAACAGCTGAAGTAAAACAAAATTCATAACTTATAAGTGAAGTACTCTGTATAGTTTTGCTTTAGTAGGGGATACAAATTTAGTCCTAATCTAAATAATTCTTTGGTCCTGCCTGAAAAGCTTATAGCAATAACCAAAAAAGATCACATGGTTTTATATAAAATCACTGTATCCCTGAAAAATATCTCATGAATATTAATAGAAACATAAAAATATCCAGCACCCAGCAAGGTAAAATTTTAACATCTGGCATTTGATAAAAATTACCCGTTTTCTAACACTCGTAGTAAATCAGACTTCAATTATGAAAGAAGATTCATCAGACCCAAAATAACAATGCTTACGTTTTGAATTTACTGCAAGAAAAGCATAAAATATAGCATTAGCATTAAAGCAAGAATATGCATTACAGCTAAGAGCTAGCTCCCAATAAAATTCTGCAAGAAGGATTGAATTGTCTTCCCTCTATAGAGAAAGCACTTTCCTTCTCTGTGAGAATCACCACCACATGCATAGAATGCCTCAGATCCAAGAAGTCCAAAATAGTCTCCACTTAAGGCTTTTGGTATTCTGCTGGCCAAGTTCTACTCCTACCAACTTCAATCCCTAAGGATCTTGGCAAAAGGAGGTATATACAATTAATTTATGATTTACCAAAATATAATGTTGCTAAGCATGTTAAAATCCAATGATATAAATAATAACAACAAAACACCTCTTGGAATTTGGTTATGACCCAGAGTTATTAAACAAAATCATCAGGATGTTTCAAGCTTTGTCCAGGAGTTACTACAATACATCTCCTTAAACAGCTCAGACCATTTCCAGGCCTTTTAGAGTAAACTATTGTAGCACACCAGTCCTGTGAAGAAGCAGGAAATCACAATTGTTAATGAGGAGAAAAAGAAAATCCCCAAACACCAGAATTAAAACAGATTGTATAATTCTTTGATATTGAAATAGTTATGCTTATACTATATGTTCAAGAGCTACAAGAAAGATTGATCATGTAAAGTAGTCACATGAAAGATGCGAAAATGACTCAAATACAGCCTACAGAGATGAAAACTAAAAAGCCTAAATAAAAACCTAGTGAACGGGTTTAATGGCAGAATAAACATTGCTGATGAAAAGATTAGAAAACTGGAAGGCATAGCAATAGAAATTATTTAAAACCAAACATAGAGAGAAACAAAAGACTACGAGTAATATAGAGATGAAGCAGTTGGGCATCCATAGGTCAAAATATAAGTAACCACCAATAGATTTTAGATCAAAAATAAAAATAAATCATGAATATAAAGCATACAATTAAAAAACTTTTAGAAGAAAATATGGGAAAACATATTTGGACTTTGGCTTGATGGAAAGTTGGTAGACATAGAACAAAAACATGATGCCTATAAAACAAATTTGTAAATGGGACTGCAACTAAAAACATTTGATCTTTGAATGATCCTCTTATGAGTATGTAAAGACAAGATACAGACTTTGAAAAATATCTGAAAACCACGTATTCAACAAAAGACTCATTTCTAGCATTTATAAGGAATTGGCAAAATTTAACAGTAACACAATTCAATTAGAAAACGGGCAAAAGGCACAGACATGTCACTAAATAGGATACAGTATGGCAAATAAACATATGAAAAGGTGTTTAATAGTACTAGCCATTAGGAAAACACAAAACTACAATGAGATACGACTGTATATCTATAGAATAGCTTCAAATATAAAATAGTAACACTACCAAAACCTTGTGAGAATGCAAACAAACTATACCACTCATACATTGCTGGTGCGGATATAAAACGGTATTGTCTCTCTAGAAAATAGTTTGAAAGTTTCTGAAAAACTAAATGTACACCAGAAATTTCATTCCTGGGATTTATTCCGTAGAATTTAAGGCTTATATACACTCAGAAACCTGTGCATAATTGCTCATGGAGGAAGATGTATTTAAAATAGCCCCTAACTGCAAACAAATAAAATGTCCTTAATAAGTGAAAGTTTATAAATAATCTGTAGTATCTCAGTTAAGCCCTATCTCTTCCATTCCAAGACCTTTTTACCATACACTGTGATAATAATGTTATTGGGGAGAAAAAGTTAAAAATATGTAATTTGTTTGAAGGAGTGCCAGCTATCTAATTTGTCTCTAACTTGGGAAGAATATACTGTTTCCCATCTTATAAATAGGACAGATAACAAGAAGCACAAATTTTTGGAAAATATACATACCTTGTAGCTAGAAGACCCATGTCTATTATATGTTTCTTCTATTAGCTCATGTGGACAAGTTCTTTAATATCTTACACACTTGCATTCCTCATGTTGGTGATGGAAATAGCTCCTGGAAAGGTAGTTGTGAAAATGAAATCAGTTTAAAGTTCCTATTAGAAACACATTCCATTATGATTTGAGTTCCTGCCCACACATGTGTTTGTTAGATGAAAGTTACATAGTGCATAGTTTACAGCCTGTTGTCAGGCTTAAAGAAATCTGAGTTTAAATTCTGATTTTCCACTTGCCAGTTGCATAAATTGGGGATGTTTACTTTGAACTTTAATATTATCATCTCTGAAGAAAATTAACAGTATTATACCACAGATTTTAAGTTAATAATAAAATGGTATATACTGTATATATACTTTAAACTCAAAATATTTGATGCTAAATATACTCATTTAAGCATGTGGTAGCTTGGTTAACAATTCAGTCTATTTGTTTTTTTATTAGAAATAATAAATTCATAACATATTAAGCAATGAAAGTGATATAAATCAATTGAAGTGCCAAATAATCTATTTTTATCTAATTGAAGATGTTTATTTCTTGAATAGAAACAAGAAATAATCTTAATTGGATTTGAATTTTATGTCAGCTATCTCACAGATTAATATTCTCTATCTGTATTTGGCATATGTATATAATCACATACAACACTTGTATGAAGACTCTTAAGACAGTTGTCCTGAAGTTGTGAATTACAGAAACAGTATCTATGATTCAGGGCTTCAAAAATGCATCCAAAGAAAGCACTGGAAGCCCTAGTATAGTATTTATATTTTCTAAAATTAATATCAGCTAAATTGTCTCTGGCTAATGGAGTTAAAAAATAATAGAATGTAATATGAAAACCATCCATGTAGCCACTTGCATATTGAAAGAGATGAAAGAGATAAAAAATGAATAAATATAAATATAAAATAATATGCATTCTATAAATATGAAATAATATGTATTCTATAGATATGTCCTCTAGAGCTAATTGAATTAATCATCTTTGCTTTTATTAACACCATGTTGCAGAATTGCTGAATGAACGATAAAATTAATAAAGGGATAAACATAAGGAAATTGTCTTCTAAATATAATCTACTACACAAAACATATTAAAGAGAAGAGTGTTTTTAAAATTGTGTTCTGTAATTAGATTTTCATACATTTCACATTCAATTTTTTTTTTTGTTTTAAGATGGAATCTCACTCTGCCACCCAGGCTGGAGTGCAGTGGCACAATCTCAGCTCTCTGCAACCTCCCTCTCCTGGATTAATGAGATTCTCTTACATCAGCCTCCCAAATAGCTGGGATTATACGTGCATGCCACCATGCCCAGTGAATTTTTTTGTATTTTTAGTAGAGACAGGGTTTCACCACACTGGTTAAGGCTGGTCTTGAACTCCTGACTTCAAGTGATTCACCCACCTTGGCCTCCCAAAACGCTGGGATTACAGACTTGAGCCACCATATACAACCTCAATGTTTTAATGTATATGCAGAAATTTAGAAAGTCTTCAGAATCAAGAATATTATCATCGTTTTTCCTCTTTATTAATTCAATATTTTACAGTTGCTTTAAAATAACCCAAATAGGAGAGGGTTGATTGTATTTCCATATTTAGTTTCTCAGTTAAACTGAGAAAATATGCATACTTTTTCAGTTGGTTTATCTGAATAAGGGAAATTTACACTGACAAAGAAGATAAAATATCAGAAAGATATAGTTAAATTTTATGCCGAGTTTAAAGTAAAAGTAATGCCACATGTTTTTAATATGCAACAAAGAGAGTGAGCTCTGAAATATTAAATGAGCACTATTTATAATATTAAATATTTTTATTTTGTGGTGCAACAATATTTAAAATTTTAAATATTTTTTCTTTGCAGATCATTTAAAAGAGTCATTCAATTTAAGTGCATCATTTGTATTACTTCTAAGGAATAATGATATTACAGCATTTAACTGAAGTGCTTGTTTCAATAGTTTTATTGCTGAAATTATGTTTGGAGATCAAGATGCTCAAGGGGGCCTTCTATTTTATGACCTTCTGTTTCACCATGGCTTGATGTATCTGTAGTAGCTAGCATGATTTCTCTAACTCAGGAAAAACTCAGTATATTTGGTTGGTGATATGATAAATATGAGGAAAATATGCATACAAACATGTATCCCTCACATTCACACATATGTGAGGGCAAAGTGCCATGTCATGTTGAAGAATTTTAATTGACTTGAAATTAGAGTATTAAATATGCATGTGGCATCTAAAATAAAAATGCAATTGCTAGGCATGCTGAAACTCTTTTCATCTGAAAATTGATAGCAACATTTGGAAACTAAATATATGATTAGTATATATGATTTGTTATAATACAGAAAAATGAGAATTATTTTCATTGGGAGAATAAGAAAACAATCTTCTAGTTACAAATCCTATTTTATATTAAAATTATCCCCTAATATTTTCATGGAATATGGGCTATAAGCCCATTTCGTTGATACTCTATACATGTAAAAGAGATCCAAAGTGCCATTTATTGCTTGAGTGCTAAATTAGCTCCAGTTTCTTCAAGTAAATGAAAGAAATAAGAACTATAGGGGGATGGGAAAAGATGTGGTAGACTTATAATACAATAATAATACTGTCCCTGATTTCTTAATTTTCCTGGAGTTCACAACTTTTGTTAAGTTATTATTTTTCAGTTCTTCCTACTAATAAGATAAAGTTTAATTTCTCACTCTTTGACTTTGGTCTGGCCATGTGACTGGCATTAGTCATGGAAGGAGACAGAACTGACAGTGTGCAGTTATGATAATAGAAATTAAATCATCATACACATTCAGACTTGCTCTCTTGCAACTCAAATATCATTATAAAAATAACATGCCCTAGATAGTCAGTCTGCTAGTTCACAAAGAAGAGACATGGGGTCTGGAGCTGCCATAGCCCACTCATCAAACTGCCCAAGGAGAACAACCTTGCAGCCAAACTCATCCTGAAATAAACAAAACCAACCAGACTTGAAGATAATACGCAAGAATAGTTTTTTGTTGTTGTTGTTGTTGTTACATCCACAAACACAGATGTGGTTGTTTCTTAAATGACATTATTTGACAGAGTTAACAAGCATGATAAGCTAACAACAAAAGTTAATAAATTCACAGGCCCATAGTTAAAGTGAGAGGCACCAATACAGGGCTACAGTGAGATTCAAGAGCTTATATTTTGATGGAGATGAAGAGGGGCATTGCTTGCCCCTGTGATGTGATTGTCCCTGAAGAGTAATTGTTTTATGGCTATTAAAACATTTTAAACAAGTGTATTGTGAGAAATAATTAAAGTGACAGTGATTATATTGGCAAATACACATTGGAAAGATTCTCAAATAATGTGGTTTGTGTATGAGCTTGTCCCAAACACCAAGGCAGAGGACACCCCTTTCAACCTCAAAACATGTCAGACTGACACATTTTGTTGTTAAGCCTTGACTATCCCTTTGGGATACAGTTAAAAATTATGAGTCACTCAGGAAATTAACTCCAAAGGCTGTTCTTAATGTATTATGTCCATTTATTAGCAAGCACCTTAGTATTATACATCAGTTGTAGTTTTCTCTATGACAAGGATGAGTGACCCTAGTAAAAACTCTAATGAACAATTTCTGCTGGGATCTCTGGAGGGCTTCTTACACTCAAAGACAAGGTGACACAGAATTAAATTGAGATACCTTATAAATAAGGAAGTCAACTCTGAATTAATTCTACCCATGATTACATTGAAATAAACTTGTTCCATCCTGTCAGAATCAGAAATAACTTTTTTTTCTGGAGGAAGAAAACATCATTTGGGATAACTACAATTTGTCATGCATAATACATGACAATTAAAAAGAACCATATATTATTGAAGATAAAAAGATGGAGACTTAACCAGAATAAAGACAATATTACAGAAAGGAAAAATACAACAATAATACAATTAAGAACTAAATAAATGGGTTTAACTTTATAATGACACAATTGAAGACAAGGTTCCTAAGCTTGAAGACAGCTCACTAGAAAATATCCATACTGAAGCATAAAAGCAAAAAAAAAAAAAAAAAAAAAAAAAAAAAAAAAAAAAAAGGAAAAGAAAAGAAAACTGTTTAGAAAATCGAGAAAGGAATTTAAGAGATGTATGAAACATCACAAAATATTATGAATAGGAGTTCCATAAGGAGGAAGTCAAAAAAAAGAAGTGTTTCAAGAAAAAGAAGAAATAATTAACAATTTTCAAAAGATAATGACAGTAATAAAGCCACACACTTAAAAATCCCAATTATTCCTAAACTGAATAAAGCAGCTTGAGGAAAACCCACATTGCATTAAAAAAAACAGTGATAAGACTTATAGCTAATATCTCAACAAAACAATGGAAACTGGAAGACAATGGAACACCACCACTGAATTCCTAAAAGCAGCTGCTGAGTAAATATTGTGTAACACTGTCTGGATGGAGTCCCCAACTAGACTGAAGTTCTTATTATCCATTTAGAACTAAGGTTCCCAATTCCCCAGGAATGCTGTGAGTTCACATTTGGGTCTTCATAAAAATGCCTCCAGCTAAGGTTAGCTGTGTTACCCAAGCTTTTACTACCTCAGCAAGAATAGCCCACAGTCAAGAACTAGTTAATGGGGTGAACAAATATGCATTTTATTTGTCTCAACTAGGGATGACTCAATGGCACCAGAGGCCCTGTTGAATTGGTGAAGGCAATTCCTCCAATTTGCTTCCTTTCAATTATTCCTCCTAAGAAAACTTCCTAGTAAACATCCCAAAAGAAAATCACCTTCAAGAGGTTATACACATTAAGATAACTGCCGAACTAAAATTCGGAAGTGAAGGTGATGTATAGGTATTTACTCTTTTCTTGTGCCTCCTCAAATTTGTCACTAGCAGCATCTCACTAACAGGAACTGAGGAAATTTATTAGAATAAGGAACATGATTTGATTCCCAACAATAAAACAAAAGAAGTGAATCAGAATAAAGACACTAGAAACTTAATATAAATGTATTTTAAGTTTAT